ACCGGACTTGGCCTGAACTAGTGGCAGGCTAGGCCCGGTCTGTAGGCCTGCATTAGTTGCAGCAAAGCACCGGGTCCGGATGCAAGCAGCTAGTTGCAGCAAGGCTCCGGGTCTTGGTCATGCAACTCGTTGTCAGCCACGCGGGCACACGGGTCTTGGATCTGCACTAGTTGCTGTCCAGGCACCGGTCATGGCCTGCACTAGTTGCAGCCAAGGCACCGGATCCGGCTTCTGCACTAGTTGCAGCCAGGCACCGGTTCTACTGCACTGCACTTCGATTGCAGCAGCCTGCACCGGTCTTGGCTGCACTAGTTTGCAGCCAGGCACCGAGGGTCCGCTCGCACTAGTTGCAGCCAGGCACCGGGTCCGGCTCGCACTAGTTGCAGCCAGGCACCACCGGTCACTAGGCAGCCCTGCAACGGGTACTGCCTGTTGCAGCCAGGCACCGGTCTTGGCCTGCACTAGTTGCAGCCAGGCACCGGGTCCGGCTCCGCACTAGTTGCAGTGCCAGGCACCGGTCTTGGCCTGCACTAGTTGCAGCCAGGCACGTTTCCTGGACTTGGCCTGCACTCTAGATGCAGCCAGGGCACCGGGTGCCAGGCTCGCACTAGTTGCAGCCAGGCTCCGGACTTGACGGTCCCTGCAACTAGTTGCAATTCAGGCACAGCGGTCCGGCTCGCACTGAGTTTATTGGCCGAGGCACCGGTCTTCGGCCTGCACTAGTTGCAGCCATGGCACCGGTCTTTGGTCTGCAACTAGTTGCAGCCAGGCACCGTGTCTGGCTCGCACTAGTTGCTACCAGGCACCGGGTCCCGGCTCGCACTAGTTGAGCAGCCAGGCACCGTGTACGGCTCGCATAGTGGCAGCCAGGCACCGGGAACACGGCTCGCACTAGTTGCAGCCAGGCACGGGTCCGGCTGGGGTTCAGCAGGCACCGGGTCCGGCTCGCACTAGTTGCAGCCAGGCACCGGGTCCCGGCTACCCGCACTAGTTGCAGCCAGGGCACCCGGTCTTGGCCTGCAATATTTGCAGCCACGGTTCACCGGTCCTTGGCCTGGCACTCAGTTGCAGCCAGGGCACCGGGTCTGCTCGCACTAGTTGCAGCCAGGCTCCGGGAACTTGGCCCACTAGTTTGCGGGCCGGCACCGGGTCCGTGCTCGCACTAGTTGCAGCCAGGCACCGGTCCGGCTCGCACCTAGTTGCAGCCAGGCACCGGGTCCGGCTCGCACATAGTTGCAGCCAGGCATCCGGGTCCCGGCTCGCACATTAGTTGCAGCCAGGCACCGGGTCCGGCTCGCACTAGTTGCAGCCAGGCAACCGGACTTGGCCTGCACTAGTTGCAGCCAGGCACCGGACTTGGCCTGCACTAGTTGCAGCCAGGCACCGGACTTGGCCTGCACTAGTTGCAGCCAGGCACCGGGTCTTGGCCTGCACTAGTTGCAGCCAGGCACGGGTCCGGCCTCGCACTAGTTGCAGCCAGGCACCGCAGCACGGGTCCGGTCGCTACCACTAGTTGCAGCAGGCACACCGGGTCCGGCTCGCAACTAGGGTCGCAGCCAGAAAGGCACCGGGTTCCTGGCTCGCACTAGTTGCAGCCAGGCACACCGTCTTGGCCCGCACTAGTTGCAGCCAGGCAACCGGGTCCGGCTCGCGCACTAGTTGGCAGCCAGGCACCGGAGTCCGGACGCGCACTAGTCTGCAGGCACCGGGCCTTGGCCTGCACTAGGCAGCCAGTGCAGACTTGGCCTGCACTATTTGCAGCCAGCGACCGGACTTGGCCTGCACTAGTTTTGCAGCCAGGCACGCATCCGGTCGCACTAGTTGCAGCCAGCGCACGGGTCCGGCTCGCCACTAGTTTGCAGCCAGGCACCGGTCTTGGGCTCGCAACTAGTTGCAGCCAGGCACCGGGTCCGGCCTCGCACTAGTTGACAGCCAAGGCACGGGGTCCAGGCTCGCACAGCTTTGCAGCATGGCACGGGTCCGCCTCGCACTAGTTGCAGCCAGGCACCGGGTCCGGCTCGCACTAGTTGCTCAGCACACAGGCACCGGGCCGGCTCTAGCACTAGTTGCAGCCAGGCACCGGGTCCGGCTCGCACTAGTTGCAGCCAGGCACCGGGTCCGGGCTCGCACTAGTTGCAGCCAGGCACCGGTCCGGCCTGCACTAGTTGCAGCCAGGCACCGGTCTTGGCCTGCACTAGTTGCAGCCAGGCACCGGTTTGGCCTCGCACTAGTTGCAGCCAGGCACCGGGTCTTTGGCTCGCACTAGTTGCAGCCAGGCACCGGGTCCGGCTCGCACTAGTTGCAGCCAGGCACCGGGTCCGGCTCGCACTAGTTGCAGCCAGGCGCACGGGTCCGGCTCGCACTAGTTGCAGCCAGGCACCGGGTCCGGCTCGCACTAGTTGCAGCCAGGCACCGGGTCCGGCTCGCACTAGTTGCAGCCAGGCACCGGGTCCGGCTCGCACTAGTTGCAGCCAGGCACCGGGTCTTGGCCTGCACTAGTTGCAGCCAGGCACCGGTCTCCGGCCTGCACTAGTTGCAGCCAGGCACCGGTCTTGGCCTGCACTAGTTGCAGCCAGGCACCGGGTCCGGCTCGCACTAGTTGCAGCCAGGCACCGGGTCCGGCTCGCACTAGTTGCAGCCAGGCACCGGGTCCGGCCTGCACTAGTTGCAGCCAGGCACCGGTCCGGCTCGCACTAGTTGCAGCCAGGCACCGGGTTGGCTCGCACTAGTTGCAGCCAGGCACCGGGTCCGGCTCGCACTAGTTGCAGCCAGGCACCGGGTCCGGCTCGCACTAGTTGCAGCCAGGCACCGGGTCCGGCCTCGCACTAGTTGCAGCCAGGCACCGGGTCCGGCTCGCACTAGTTGCAGCCAGGCACCGGGTCCGGCTCGCACTAGTTGCAGCCAGGCACCGGGTCTTGGCCTGCACTAGTTGCAGCCAGGCACCGGGTCTGGCTCGCACTAGTTGCAGCCAGGCACCGGGTCCGGCTCGCACTAGTTGCAGCCAGGCACCGGGTCCGGCTCGCACTAGTTGCAGCCAGGCACCGGGTCCGGCTCGCACTAGTTGCAGCCAGGCACCGGTCTTGGCCTGCACTAGTTGCAGCCAGGCACCGGGTCCGGCTCGCACTAGTTGCAGCCAGGCACCGGTCTTGGCCTGCACTAGTTGCAGCCAGGCACCGGGTCCGGCTCGCACTAGTTGCAGCCAGGCACCGGGTCCGGCCTGCACTAGTTGCAGCCAGGCACCGGGTCCGGCTCGCACTAGTTGCAGCCAGGCACCGGTCCGGCCTGCACTAGTTGCAGCCAGGCACCGGGTCCGGCTCGCACTAGTTGCAGCCAGGCACCGGGTGGCTGCACTAGTTGCAGCCAGGCACGGGTCCGGCTCGCACTAGTTGCAGCCAGGCACCGGGTCCGGCTCGCACTAGTTGCAGCCAGGCACCGGGTCCGGCTCGCACTAGTTGCAGCCAGGCACCGGGTCCGGCTCGCACTAGTTGCAGCCAGGCACCGGTCTTGGCTCTGCACTAGTTGCAGCCAGGCACCGGTCCGGCTCGCACTAGTTGCAGCCAGGCACCGGGTCCGGCTCGCACTAGTTGCAGCCAGGCACCGGGACTTGGCCTGCACTAGTTGCAGCCAGGCACCGGGTCCCTTGGCCGCACTAGTTGCAGCCAGGCACCGGTCTTGGCCTGCACTAGTTGCAGCCAGGCACCGGTCTTGGCCTGCACTAGTTGCAGCCAGGCACCGGGTCCGGCTCGCACTAGTTGCAGCCAGGCACCGGTCTTCCGGCTCGCACTAGTTGCAGCCAGGCACCGGGTCCGGCTCGCACTAGTTGCAGCCAGGCACCGGGTCCGGCTCGCACTAGTTGCAGCCAGGCACCGGTCTTGGCCTGCACTAGTTGCAGCCAGGCACGGGTCCGGCTCGCACTAGTTGCAGCCAGGCACCGGTCTTGGCCTGCACTAGTTGCAGCCAGGCACCGGGTCCGGCTCGCACTAGTTGCAGCCAGGCACCGGGTCCGGCTCGCACTAGTTGCAGCCAGGCACCGGGTCCGGCTCGCACTAGTTGCAGCCAGGCACCGGGTCCGGCTCGCACTAGTTGCAGCCAGGCACCGGTCTTTGGCCTGCACTAGTTGCAGCCAGGCACCGGGTCCGGCTCGCACTAGTTGCAGCCAGGCACCGGGTCCGGCTCGCACTAGTTGCAGCCAGGCACCGGGTCCGGCTCGCACTAGTTGCAGCCAGGCACCGGGTCCGGCTCGCACTAGTTGCAGCCAGGCACCGGGTCCGGCTCGCACTAGTTGCAGCCAGGCACCGGGTCCGGCTCGCACTAGTTGCAGCCAGGCACCGGGTCCGGCTCGCACTAGTTGCAGCCAGGCACGGGTCCGGCTCGCACTAGTTGCAGCCAGGCACCGGGTCCGGCTCGCACTAGTTGCAGCCAGGCACGGGTCCGGCTCGCACTAGTTGCTGCCAGGCACCGGGTCTTGGCTCGCACTAGTTGCTGCCAGGCACCGGGTCCGGCTCGCACTAGTTGCAGCCAGGCACCGGGTCCGGCTCGCACTAGTTGCAGAATTTCTCCACCGGCACCGGGTCCGGCTCGCACTAGTTGCAGCCAGGCACCGGGTCCGGCTCGCACTAGTTGCAGCCAGGCACCGGGTCCGGCTCGCACTAGTTGCAGCCAGGCAGGTCCGGGCTCCGGCTCTAGAATGCACGGGTGGGTTGCAAGTTGCCACATAAGGCACCGGATTTTTGGCTCTCTGCACTAGTTGCAGCCAGGCACCGGGTCCGGCTCGCACTAGTTGCAGCCAGGCACCGGGTCCGGCTCGCACTCCTATTTGCAGCCAGGCACGGGTCCGGCTCGCACTAGTTGCAGCCAGGCACCGGGTCCGGCTTCCCCCACTGAGCCATTGAGGTCATACCTGGCTACTAGCCTCACTGGTATGTAAATTCCTGCACAAGCACTCCCCTGCACTAGTTGCAGCCAGGCACCGGGTCCGGCTCGCACTAGTTAAAAACACAGGCACCGGTCTTCAGCCTGCACTAGTAAGCAGCCTACACGTGGGCACTACGTTGGGTCCGTTATGGTCCTTGCACTAGTTGCAGCCAGGCACACGGGTCCGGCATTCGCACTAAGTTGCAGCCAGGCACCGGGTCCGGCTATCGCACTAGTTGCAGCCAGGCACCGGGTCCGGCTCGCACTAGTTGCACATACAGGTACCGGCTTGGCCTGCACTTAGTTGCTTTAATCCAGGCACACGGGTCCGGCTCGCACATTTAAAGTTGCAGCAATACAAAATTTCCATGCCTGGTCCGGCTCGCACCTGGATGCCACCCAACACTGGCCACAGCACTAATCCTTCTTCCAGGCACCGGGTGCATGCATAGATTGCCTCCTCCATCAGCCCATCCCCCCACTGCTGTTCCCTTTTGTATCACTGAACCCTTCCCCCTAGATTGTCAGCTCTCATGAGTAGGACCTCTTGTACCAAATTGTATTGTAACTGTAATGTCTCCCTTTATTCTGTAAGGCGCTGCTGCGCAGATTGTTGGTGCAATATAATTCCTGTATAATAAGTATCATTCTGCATTTGACTAGGGTCAGTGTCACTACTGGTAGCATGAGGTCATACCTGGACCCTACAGAGGTTGCACAGGCAGTCCCACTCCTCCAGGATGGCACATCAATACCTGTCATTGCCAGAAGGTTTGCTGTCTCCCAGCACAGTCTCAAGAGCATGGAGGAGATTCCAGGAGAAAGGCAGTTACTCTAGGAGAGCTGAACAGGGCCGTAGAAGGTCCTTAACCCATCAACAGGACCGGTATATAAATATATAAAAATAAAATGTCTGTTCCATTTTCCTTCCCTCACACTACTGACTACTATTTTGAGTTGCTTCAATAAAATTTTAGCAAAATGGATTACCTTGCTGCATCATTTTTTCACTTTGATTTTCGGGGTGTCTTTGAATTCAGTCCTCTGTAGGTCGATAAAGGATGTCCCATCGTTTGATGGAAATGAAAATTAAAAAACAAATCAGAAAGTGTTTATTGAGAATAGTCTCCGACAGGTACAGGAAGCAAATTGTACAGCAGATGAACAAGGAAGAGAAAGATGAATACAACAATTACAGACACATCTCTTACATTTCTATGGTGTTGGGGTGTTAAAGGCGTTAGCAATGCCTGTTCATAAGTCCCCGCGGGGGGAGTACAAACAGACCATTCATTATATGAGAGTAGCTTAGGGGGGGTTATATATTAACTCCTAGGGCTGCGCAACATTTGCATCTGGACCAACTCCAGCGGGCCGAAGGCCAGGGGTATCCAGCCACGGAGCCCATAGCTTGTCATGTTTGTGTGGGCATCCTCTATGTTCCAGTGGGTTAAAATTAAATTATTTGTGGCCCATAAGGCCCTTGAAATAGCTTCTCGGGTGAAATCGGAGGTAATGGCTTCACCAGAAACATTAAGCAGGTAGCACTTGGGATCTAGAGGGACAGAGGATTGAAAAACTGAATAATGTCAAGCACAGCTTTCCAATATAGGTGAAGCTTGGGGCATCTCCAGAGTACATGACGGTGGAGACCTTCTCCACCTAAACACTTCATACAGCCGGGGTCGGCCGGATACCCATTGTATGCAGTGTATAATGAACCCGATGCAAAATATACAATTGGGAAATCCTCTGCGCCATATTGAGTGAGCAAGTTGTAATAGCTGCAAATGCTTCCTCCCATTGGTCACCTGAGGTCCGGCCTAAATCCTCCCCATATGAAAGGACTTGCATGGGGTATTGCCTAAAGAATCTAGTCAGTAGTATAGAGTATCCCTGCGATATAAACCCTTTAGAGGTTTTGACAGAAGTGATTAAAGAACGGGGGAAAGGGATAGATGCCAGTCACAAGAGGGGCCATGGGCTTTAACTTTGTTCACGCCAGCCGCACTCCCAGCGTCTGGGCCTAGACGCCGAGCGGCCGCACAATTGCTTTCTATTAAAAAAGGACATATGTGCAGAGACCGCGTGTCCTGCACACTCCCAGCGCACATGTCCGGTACTTATGGAAAGGTTCTGATCTTTTTCGATCTGGATCTTTCCCAATCATGTGACGCCGTGATGGTGCGTCACTGTGTTCACTAAAACCCCGCCCCGCCTCCCGGCATCTGGAACCCTTAAAGGGCCGGGAGGCGCCGGTATGAAGGGGTTAATGGCATGTTGGAGTTGTAGATAGTAGAAGTGCATTGATGAATGCAGGGAAATTGTCTTTGTAAATCTGGGAAGGGTACCAAAGCACCATCCTTAAAAATTTGGAAGAGGTGAGTAATTCCATAGCTCTTCCATCTCGGGCCCTGTTGCAGTGTAGCCAGCTCAACATAGGAGACATTGCACCAAATCACACTGTATGTGGTGTGAAACCCTGTATTCCTTGCAGGTACCTAGTTTTATTCCAAACTTTCAGCATTGGGTTATATGTAGGGAGCATCTATTGGCTTTGCTAAATGCTTGCGATTCAAGTGCCTCAGAGATAGAGGTATTTCATGTGTATGTAAGAGTGATTTGTACAGAGGGGGTCATAGCTAATGGAGTTGGGGGTCGTGATAGGAAACATGCAGCCTATGAGGTGTTGAGATTGTGACGCTAAGTTGTATAGCCGGGGGTTGGGAACGTTGGAGCTGCTCCAAATGGAGCCGGGAGGACGGTCATTCCACATTAGGGAGTGAGAGTTAACATGGCAAAATACTGCAAGAGGGAGCACAACCGGGAAGTTATGCAGGAAGTGTAGAAGTTAGGGCAGAAGGATGATTTTTATTAAATTCCCTCTACCTACTACTGACAGCGTTAGTTTTGTCCAAATCCTAAATTTGTCCCTAAATCTAGTGAGGAGGGGGGGTGTATGTTAAGAGAGCAAAAGTGTGGAATGACTGGGGAAATGGTAACCCCTAGATATTTAAACTGGGTAGTTAATGGAATAGGGCAGGACGGAGTCATGGGCTGGCTCCTGTTCCCATCCAGCAGCAGCAATTCAGATTTCACACAATTGGTCATTAACCCCAAGAAGGTCCCAATTTGGGTTATGGTATCCATTGCCACTTCCAAGGATATGGACTTGCCACCTAACAATAGAAGCATGTCGTCGGAATACAGCATCATCTTTTCATGAAGATGTCCGTAACAAAAACCTGCAATACCAGGGTTAGAGCGTATAATAGCGACCAGAGCTCTTCACAATAGTAATAGAGGAGTGGCGATCTTACAACATTCAGGGGAGAGGAAAGGGCAACAGAGAAATGTGAACAGAGCCAGGGATGGAAGGGGCAAATGGTGAACAGAGCTCCGAGGTCTGTCTACACGTTTGCATTTTGCCACCCCTCTAGTCTGGCATACTAAGGCAGCTGTCTTGTGATGGCACCGGCCCTGATAAGGCATGGCAGGCTCCTCTACCACCATTTCTCAATGGATCAGGCAGATGGTTATCTAGGCTTATATGTAATTAGGGGTCCATCTCCTCCCTTCCCTTACCAGTATCTAGGGTTTTACATTACACACTCTACTAGGACGATTAGTGCATCCTGCCCGTTTTGATATCAGGCGTCCAGGGGCAGACTGACAACTCATGGGGCCCCCCGGCAATAGGGGATCATGGGGCCCCTGTGTCCTTGCCCAAACTCAAAAAGCCTATGAAAAAAAAGGTACCAGGGGCATCTCATGGGGCCCCCTATTGACCCTGGGCCCTCAGGCAGTGCCTGAGTTTTCCAAATGGTCAGTCCGCCCCCTGCAGGCGTCTGTGTCTCAAGTTTTTCAAGTGGTTACTTGGTCGTCTCTGCCCACCTTTTCATAAAGTTGATGTTTTTGGTATCAGAAGTCAGTCTCAGCTGGAAGTTTCGCAAGCAGCTGTTTGAGGTTTCTTGATCCTCTTCTCCATAGGCAGTACAATGCTACATTTTCTGGCCTAGTGTCCTCCTATTGAAGGTAATACTATAACTCTATGGTCAAGACTATGGTAGAGCTTTGTCCCTCAATGAACTCCGAGAACGGTATTTTACGGTGAGTAACAAAAAAAAAAATATGTGTGTGTTTTATGTGTTTGGTGGTTTTTGTTTTTATTTTTTATTTTTTTTTCCTCAAAGCTGCTGAACTTTCAGGATTGTAGGTACAGGGATATAAGTCCACAAATCTTTGGTTAAATGTAAATTCATAATAGGCTCCTGATTATGTGGGCAACTTGCTTGATAAAATCCCCATTTTAAACACGCTTGCAAATTTTTCTTTAGTGGGTTTTTTTTCAATTTTCTTGATTGCTGATCATTTTTATATTTCTCAAAGTTTTGGTTTTTCTCATTTCACAAGAGTACCATCAATTTCTGACTTTGTACTGCCACCTTGTGGAGAAATAGCAGTTGACATGTTTGTTTTCTCTTCTCCATATCTCCATATACAAGTACAAAGAAATGGGGGAGTTAAAAGCGTATCCTGGATATCAGAATTGTTTTATGTTTTTAATCAGCTAAAATTTTGCCAATATATATCTGTAGGAAGGTGGGAATAACTGGAAATCTCTTTCCTTCTAGTTACAATACCACTACATAGGTGTAACAATTCAATAGATTTCCCAATGAGTCTTTACCCACAGTGGTATTTAGGCACTGATGGTCCATGCTGTGCCCTGCTGGAGGCAACTGAGAAACACGAGCCCACTGATAATTGGTAAGGTGATGAATGTGACACATGGCAAAACGGTACTGCTTATAAAAGGCAGTAGCCGGTCAAGAAGAGGAAAACCATTTTAAACTGGAACAATGCAAAACTTGAAGTTACATTACCCAGCCAATGTCTCAATATGGGTAGGGGGGAGAATTTTGTATTTCAACCTTCTACCCAATTAGAAGGGGATAAAGGGAAAGCCTAGCTCTGGACAAAACCTTTACTTCACTAGCCCAAGACGTACTAGTCGATGGTGGATAACTAGTAAAGCAATTTTTTCTTTGTCTGTTATGGCTGATGGTTAAAGGAGTTGTCTGTAGTAAAGGCATTAAAAACCAGTTTTAAAGCAGAAATGGTGTTGTGATAATGTGCTTCTACAGACCTTTATTAGGACTGAGGTCCAGTGCAGTCTCCTCATGGAGTACTGGCTGCCAACCTTCATATAGGCCAGTCTCACATTGAGAAATGTCATTCTATCACGTGATAGAATACTGGTTCCAGGTCTGTACTAACCAGGTTCTAATAAGGATCACAGTACAAGAGCCTGCAACTTCAAGTTAGTCCTTTTTTTTTTTTCTTATCCATAAAGATCATTTTTGTAAATGTAATTCCTAACAGATCTTTAGTAGTAGACCCCAAGTCTGGGTTGAGCCCACACAGAGGCAGAAGAAGAGAAATGCATCTGTGGAGGAGTGCGGCTAGATCTACACCCTCATCACATCAG